GGCATGAATGCAAGCTCTGACACATGCATACAAGTCAATGAGAAAAATCTTTCCTCTCTTCCTTCTATCTCTGCAAAGCAGCGTCAAAAATATTTTCTCTCCATTTAGCCATTTGCTTTTTATTTGTCTATGAAAAAATTAAGACAATTTTATAATGGATCTTAAATAGAAATAAATACAGAACTTTGTAACTCGGAAAAGTTTCAAACCGAGAACTTTCAGCATTTTATAAAATAAAGCTCTTTGGAAGAAGCACACATAAAAGGAATAACAAAAACCTCAACAGAAGGGAAAACAGCCTAGCGAGATAGGAGCAGGAAACAAAGCTGAAGTATGCCCTGCAAAATGCAAATTATTATTACAACAAAACAGGTGCTCACAGTGTAAGAAAGTTACTTGAAAAACAACATCAAAGACGTACGGCATTCTGTAAACTTTCAGGGTAATGCAAGTAAAATCTTTGGTAACTTTTAACCACACACTGTAAACATGTAGCACTGCTGAAGATTATAACATCTATAACACAACATACAGCTTTACTGAAAATATAACCTACTTCATGAAGAAGAAAAAGCAAAGAATATAGAAAAGTTAGATCAAAAGCCCACAACAGTAATGGAAATATATTACGGAAAGAACATTATTTTTAAGGACCGAAGCAACAAAGGACTTGGGGGGGAGGAGGGGGGTGTTAAACTCATGCCTACCAGGACAAAGTTGCTCAGCAAATCAAAATTTAAACCTATAGTCATTAGAATTGTTCTACTGCTGCTATTCTGTCAGTGCCTGAACAGCAGTGCTAGCACTAGATTTTTAGAATTTTTTGTGACATTGCCCTAAAATTTTCTAATTGATTTTGAGATTCTGATAATAGTCAATCATATAGAAAGGGAGTTCTAATAATTATATGTAAGTGGATAACATATTCAGTTGTGGGATCCTCCTCCTTTCTAAAATATACATCTATTCTGACCTTTAAAATTAATGGGGGAAAAAGAAGAGTTTTTATACTGCTGTATCAATACCTGTTCAGTGACAAAATCAGGACTTCATAATTCATACCCAAATAGTGGCAGAAACTGAACATTTAATGTATATTACTAACCAGTATTTCCATTATCAGTGCTTTAGATTTACTATTTAGCCAGGAACAAGTCACACTTCTAGAAGTGCTTGGCATTTATTTAGTTACCCTGGCCCAAAGACTTTGAAATTCTTTAGTCTTCAACACTACTAAATTAAATACTATAGGCCACTTCAAAAGCCAACACGGACAAAAAAGTTAGTAGACCCTTTTGGGACAACACAGGAAGATAAATATACCGTTAGAGCCCTAAGTTGCTGGATCATGTTTTAATTAATGTTTTTCCATGCTTTGGTGGGACATATTGTGCTAAAAAATATTTCCTAGACATTTAAAAAAATGGAAGAAACTTAAAAATTTTAAAATAAATCTAAATCTTCAGCAACTTCTTAAGCACTAAGCACAGAAATCAAGTTTTTTACCCAATCCTGTCAAAGTAATAACATAACACAAAAGAAAAAAAATAATTCTCCTATAAGTGTTCTAACAACCTAAACACAGTATTTATACACTAATGATAACCCTTGTAAGAAATGATCAGCTTTTGAGATTTGGGCCCATTCATACAAAAGTGATATGCTCATTAATGCCAACAGAGGTAATATAAACTTCAGTACAATATCTTGACTAGCAGAACACACAGCTGAAAGGAAATGCCAGAATTAAGAAAACGTGCATCAGGAACACCAACACCAAACTTACTCTCTGTGTAAAAATTAAAACCTCAAACTTGTAGGTAAGTTAATGCTCATTACACATACATAACAAGAACACAGAAATATTTTTGTCTTTACTAATTTTAGTAAAGATCTAGCCAGTATCTGACTTTGCTTCACACATTGTTAAACTTCTAGTAACCAAACAGATTTGGGCAACAACCCAAAGGAGTCCTAAGAAGCAACACAGCCATGATTGTGTGCGAGTAGTTACTCATTTTGACTGTTCAAACAACTCACAAGATAATAGTTCAGACAAACCACCAAACAGATGACAGTCCACACAGTCGTTAACTCAAAAACAATTAAAATGGAACTAAAGGAAAAACAGAACAAAGAAAAACTAAACACAGGGAAACCTGCCTTAACTATCAAGAAAAAAAGCAGTCGCTTAAGAGGGAACATACTGACATTACTAGACAAGACCTGAACACACAAGAAACAGGAGATGTCACTCACATAAGCATTGGTTCAGACAAGGAGCTACAAATCAGGAGCAACAGAACTAATGAAGGCTAATGTCCTACAGATTTTATGTCCTTTGTTCCTTAAACTCCCCGTGATGTTTTCCCAACAGTAACTCTAGCTTCTCATCATGTCCACTCTGTCACTTCTACTGGGCAAGGCAAATGCTCCAATTCCAAGCAACAAGTGCACGCTGTTACCTTGCGAGCATGTGTAAGCTGCTGGTCAGACTACTGCTGCTAAATAGAATTTACAACTGCTGAGTTTTACTGCCCTCCTCTCACTATGCACACCAGTTTAGGTATCGCTAATCTACCTACCTGCTGAGTACCGCAGAAATTGGGAGAAATCAGTTAAAACTTCTACACTTCTTGCTAACATGTCTGAAAAATTACTGAGGAAGATGGGCAGAGGGAACCAACCACAGAAGTCTGACTTCATTAGGAAATCTTTATATAATCTTTTGTATAAATCTTTATAACAAAAGATAGTAGATGTTTGCTTCATAAGTGCACACTTGCCTGAATTCTGACCAAATAACTGAGGTGTGTACTGAAGCATACTCTAAAGAGTAAGAAACTAAATACTCAGCAGCTATCCATACATTCAGTTGAGTCAGGATCACATAAGAAAGTGGATTTGCAAGTCCCAAGTGATAAAGGGCAATAAGGAAAGAAACAACAAAAGACTTTGACTCAATGAAATTGAGTTACCCTGAAGTTACCATGGCTATTGTTAATTATCCTGACTCTTGCATGTAAACTCTGACCTAGAACACAGCTAATAAGAGTTCAACGTAATGGTATCTTTATTTGTTTCTAGATGCATCTTACATCCCTATATAAAATCTCAATATATCTTCTCAAATGGGGTACCTGCATAGCTCACTTGCCTCAGTATTTCAGTTTCCCACCTAAAAGAAGCCTTGCTTCAGCTGACTGTGGCGAAAATATTTTAATTCTTGCAAAAATGCAGGCTGTGCAGTTACCAAAACAGTTGAGAACAGGACAGGCAGTGCCTGTGCCTCCCATCACCCTGTTACCCTCAGTCTCCAACTCTTTTCCCTCTTATTTACAGCAGCCTCTCCATCTCTCCTTTCTGCTCTATCTTTACTACTCCCTCCACAGCTCATACTCCTTTTTCTATATATTTTCTCAGCACCACTAGGAAAAGCACTGAGAGCACAGAAGAAAGTCTCTTTACGCAGTGTTTGTACCTAACCTTACAACGGAGCAGATCAGCCCCGTTTACTTCCCACAATTCAGGCTAGAACATGCGGTCTGGTTATAACTAGAAGGATTTGAAACTTATCTGCCTCATCTGATTTAGACAGAAGAAGCAGATTCAGGCAAATCATTGAGCTGGTACAAACTGCACTTTTCAGAAGTCTATCACACCACCTAAAATAAGAGTTTTGGATGGCACAAAACAAATAGCCTGATACTGCAGCATAAAAATTCTAGTTTTCCCCTAAGACTCAAGCATTTGCTCTAACATATGCAGGTGCTGCATCTTTCCACTGGTAAGATGTTTGTTTATTTTGAATAAAGAAAAACAATATTTTTCCCCTCATCTCATTCTCAGACATAGACTGACTTTCAGTAAAGGTATAGCTGAGGGAGATATGCAACACAAAGAATTACTGCTCAAATGATCTAAGTCTTCCAGATTACGAGCAACTGAAAAGAGGGTCTTAGAATCGAACCAGTCAAGCATCGTTAACTGCTAGCACTGCTACCTGTAACTCTCTTTCATGTGCAACCAAGCATCTCCAGTGCATGATAAATCATTAGAGATGTCAGAAAGCTTTCTGTCGGCAAGACGAAATAATCTGGTTTGAGCAAAGATTGGCACAAAGTCTGTTCTGAGCAGATCAAAGTGCCTTGTTTTGTTCCTTGCATTTCTGACTGGGCCAGCTGAACAAGTTTAACAGTAATACCTACTTACAAAGAAAAAGCTTATAAACAAACATATATGCAGATTATAGGGGGCTCCAGGCAGAAACAAGGCTGTGATCCTCACAATACATCAGATCAAAATCCTCTCATCAGATGTAGCTTAAACAAACCATCCTGTTCCGTGCTTCTCTTTGCATGGATGCACAAAGCAATCAGTAGCCTTGCTACAAGATAAAACTTGAACAGATTGTCCAAAGACCTCACAAAGACCAAAATTTACATCACCTGGCCTGCCTTCAACCAGAGAGTACATGGGGTTTAATGAAGAAAGTGGGGAGAGGTAATCCTTTCACAAATGAGTTGGCTGCTGAACAGAGAGATTGCTATTTGAACCTATTCAGATGTATTTTTTCACTTTCTATATATTCCTACATTAATGGAATTTTAAGGTCATCTCCTCATTAACAAGTGCATCTGTGAAAAAGGACCCTAACAAGCTGCAAGCGTGGCAATACCTACGTTCATTCATCACACACCTCAAAGAGACATTAACTCAGGTGCCAGAAATAGTACAGCCACATTAACATGCTGCATAGCTGGGGACTGTGCCATAATGAGTTGGCTTTTTTCCCTTCCAGTTTCCAAGACTGTTCAGGTACAGTTAGTTTAAATGTTTTATTCTACACTCCCCTGTGCAGGATGGAAGCTTATTCTTGCCCTCACAAAACACTGACTTCCATTTCAAACCGAAGCAGAATGTCAACCTTGCCTGAGGTTGAAAAGATGCTTCTTTTTAAAGCGTTACTCTTCTAGCAACAGTAAAATCTGCATACTTACTTGAATTACCTAGAAATCTGCTGTGCCTTGTAGAGTGAGCGGATAGCATCAATAGTTCAAACGCGATGCCATCTGAGCTAAAGTCTTCTTCAGTACAGTCCTCTGAAAAACAAACAAAAAAACTCCAGAGTTCTATAAAAATGAACCCATTCAAAACAACTTTTAGAGACGTGATGATAATTGCTTTTCTTCTCTTGCCATTTCAGTCCCTTTATTTCTATTCTTGAACTGCCCACAGCTTCACTTTCCAACTCCGTTATTCCACTGCGATGAGGTGCACGTGAGGAAGGAAAACTGCAAAATTGCACATCACCTTTACCTACCTCTATTACTGCATGAAACGCAAACCTGGAAGACAAACGCAACAGCCTAATGGTAACATTAAAGTTACTCTTTTAACATTGCTTTAAAAAAACATCAATGGAGTTTACATTGCTTTAGGATATATCATGCCCTTCCATTGTTACCTACACCATTTCTGGAAAGAAAACAGAGTTTAGATTGTGTTGACGTGTATGTGTACTATGGTTCAAACAGGACGTGCTCTCTGAGAACTTAAAACTATATTCAGAGGTAGATTACATGGCATACACCACCACAGAAAAGACTTGCATCTTCCCTCTCTAATGAAAAACTTTCATTTCAGTGAGCTGTACTGAACAGAAGCTAACTACACAGTATGTATGTTCTATACACACTCTACTTACTCCACAAAAACAACTTCCCATCTACTACTACCTTACATATAGGGACTGCATTTTACATACACATGCACCGCTCTGATAATAAGCCTCACTGCTGACAATCCTGCTGAGCAGACTACTGCTAGTCAGCATTATTGATAGTTTCTATTCATCACTCCTACGCGGCAAACTACATCCTTTAAGGTATACATTAATAATACTTCCTTTCAGCATACAGGATAGGCAGATTTCTTTTGCTATAAGGTACCAGCAGAAAGAGGAAGTTCCAAATAGCTGTCCTTCACCACCCTGTCCCCCAATACACATGACGTAAGTGGAAAAAGTTGTCAAGCAAGAGTCAAAGAATGTATCTGAAGGATGCCATCTGCTTCAAAAATGCATTTTATTGGACAAGTCGAATTTGATAAGAATGGTAAGTCACCATCGTCTCTTTATCTACTTTTCTCTATAGTAAAATAAAATATTCTAAAGTCAAAAATTGATATATTGAATCAAATCCCAGTGTAACATATAGATAAGAAAGGACAAACTATGCTCTATGAGACAGGAATAGGGCCCAGGTGCTATTCTGAAAACCCATCTATACAATTTTATGACATAGTACTTTGTATTTCTTATGTTAGCAATGTAAACAAGATTACAATAACTCAATATAACCAATCATAAATTTAATTGTATGTACAAAGGTAGCACTAATTTCACTAAAATCATTTTGAAAAGCAATTTCAGGTTAGTCAAAGGAAAAATCAGTTCATGATCCTTTTGACTTGGCTAAACTGGTAGTGACTCAATCATCTTTGATGCCAGAGGCTTCTATAACCTCACCTCAATTGCGCTGAAACTTGTAAAAAGTCCTCCAGCTTATACAGAAACTGGGCTGAACAGGAGACAGAGTGATAGAGCAAAATGAATGCCTAAAATTGACTTTTCAGGTACAGTTGCTTGTTCTTTTTCCCATTCATTCTATTGGCAACTTAAATTGACAGTTGAATTTCTTATGGGCTTAAAAAAAAAAAAATCTTAGTACTAAAACGTGTGCCCAGACTTCCCTGCTAAAAGATCATACCAGCACATTCTCAAATCTTTTTTCTGTCTCATCTTTTTTTTTTTTTCCTCCATAACAGCTAAACACATCAACCTAATTTGTAAGTTCCCACGTATCTTTTCTCCTGCCTCCATTTCCTACCACCTTCTAATTCTTCATCTTGATTCAGTCTACTCTTTCAATTCTTTTATGGCTTTCAAATCCTACCTAATAACACATTTTCGCTCTTTTTCTTCAAATCCCTCCACTACTTTGGAGTTACTTTATGGCATCTTTCATTTCTCTATTTTTGACGTCTTCCTTACTGATCTATCTTACTCTCAGCTTAAAATATCAACTTGTTTGACTCACTCGCTTGAATCCTTATCCTCCTTTCTGAGATCATTTGCCTTATTCTCTGTGTCACTGAAATTCAGATCACAAGCTCTTCAAGGCTAGAAATGTACTCTCAATATCTCCGAAGCAAAAGCTTAGCACTGTCTAAAATGCTTAACTAATGCTTCTGAGCTGGAAAAAATACCATTTGAAAAAATGAAGTATAGTACTTCAACAAAAAAACTTTCATCTTAAAATTCAAGTTCACTGCAATTAGATCAGAAAATCACATTTTAAGCAAAATTTCTGAGATGATAGTGAGTTATCATAACATACATTGGAACGCTAGTTTCATCCTCAACAGTGCAACTGCTAGTAGTAGCCTGATTGCACATAATGAATGCTGCTGCTGTGAACGGCAAGAAAAAGTTTGTTAAAGCACGTTACTACATTAAAATTGACAGTGGAGAGTGTGGGGGGGGGAGGCGGAATTCTGCATTCCTATTTTGACAGTTCTTGGAAGCTGTGATTCATGCTGCTACTTGCTTTTCAACTCACAGACAGAGGAAAATCCGGTTTCCTTTAGAAAAGCACAAAGGAAAGCCGCATAACTGCTTTGTGGTTATGGTATTTTAAAACTGAAAGTGAGTCCAAAGCATACTTGAAGTTAATGAACTAAAATTTGTAAACACTGTAGAGTTTGTAAACTGTTAAACTGTTTCAATACACCATGCACATTGGTTATTAAAGGCTTGAAGAGTATACTCAACACTAATTGAATGCAGAATTCTCTGGAAGTAACAGTAACAAGCTTACAAAAGTTTCTTCACTTTCATCACTACCAAGTCCATCAGAAGTTTTTCTAAACCTATTAGCAAAACAGACTCAAATTTTCTGTTCAAACTTGACAGAATATCGCAAGTCGAACTTAATAGGGTAAATTTCAGGCCACGGTTTACTATCATTTATAGGTAAGACAGGAAAGAATTAGAAATGATTTTATGATTCTAGTGAGAAGTCCAGCTCCTTTTTCTTTTGAATCAGCTCGATGTCACAAGATGAAGGAGTGGGCTTCCAGGAAATCACGTTCAGGAGGTGTTATCTTTTAATTTTACTTCGAGAAAAAATCATAATCTTTGGCTATTATTGCACAAATGCAGTACAGTATCTGGTATAAACAGAAATCTTTAAACAGCATGCTCCCAGCTTTTTCTCTCTATTGTTAAAAGCAATTATTTACTATGGCTAATTAAATACCTTTAAACAGAAATGTCTTAAGCCACAGGTCACACTTTCTTCTCCTTTTTTTTTTTTTTTTTAAACCACCAAAGGCAAGGTCTAAGTTCTAGCCTTTTTAAAGAAATAAGCCAAAGCCACTTTTTGTTTGCCCTTAAAGAAGGGGAAAATACCAATTTTATCAGAGCCTCAAGCTACGCAGACAGGATATATATTTTTTGTTTATTTCAAATAGAATTTACGAATTAATCCGAAGTAGAAATCGGGCAACCCTGCAGTCAGAGAAACTTAGCATCAAAATAGTTCTTTGGTTAACGGTCAAAACATCCTTTACGTTTATCATCAAGCAAGCTCTTCAACGACAGTAAAGTACATTTCTGCTAGCTCTGTGTCCTTTATTGACTCTCCCCTCTCACAGAAAGCCAGCTTACCCTCCTGTCCTCCCTTTGATACACCATAATACCCTCCGTTGCCACCCCCTTCAAAAATAGCCCAACGTGCTGCCTGCCTCCTCAAGCCTCTTGACATATACAACTATCTCCTGTTCCCCTACTCAACAGGAACCCAGGACATGCTGAACACACAGGTGAGCACCAAACCCACAGCACGACATCTCTCAGAGAGCCCTGATACAGGGCGCTCTCTCTATCCAGAGATCATTTCACCCACCTTCCTGAAAACTGTAAGAAAGGGATAATCTGAGATTGTTGTCCCTTCTACAAGCCTGGCTGTAATTGGTCAATCCCCCAAAAGCTACTGGGGAATATGTAAAGAAAGAATGACAGAAAAAGAACAAACTGCATAAACCACATTTCCTTCAGAAACCAAACTAAAGAAAGGCAACTCCCTACAGCCTTGGATGGAGAAGGCTTCTGGGTTGTTCACTGAGCCAAGGCAAATAAGCAGATTTTGGTGAAACATCTGATTTCTCTCACTTCTCACACCTTCACACTTTGCTTTCAAACACACCTGAGAGAGAAGTAGGGGTTGGGAAAGTTACCCATATCTTTTTTTCCCTAACATACATTGAAATTTTTGGATGAAAAGCGAGATACTGCAAGCCTTTGGCGTTTCTCTGACAAGACCCATATGGAAGAATGCCGAACCTGCTACCCACCCGCAGCAGCAGGAGTTTGCCCTATCATGGCTCACAACCACCTTCTTGCCAGCAGCACCAAACTTCTGGAATACTATTCTTCAAGATAATTTTGCCACAGTGCATGTCAAAAAAATCCACAACTCAAAAGCTAAAAGCCCATCTCTGACATTACATTAAACACACAATGAAACAGCCAACAGAAAAATCACGTGCTTTTAAGTGCCAGAAACTCTCATTTACTATACCATTAAAAACTTCATCATCTTGGATGTAATTCATAAAGTACAAAAACAGTAACATGCTTTATTTACAACAGCAGCATTCTCAGCATTGGAAATATGACATCAGCTGTATAATACAACTTATTTTGAAGCATCTTTCTTTTTTGTTTTCACTAGACAGCTCAGGATCTCATATTCACGTTCTCTAAGACCACAATTTAAAATGTCAAAATTTATATTTGCTATCTTTTTTTTAACGCACATTATAGGAAATTCACATATTCTTTCTTGCCTTCCTTCTTCAAGAGCTGCTTGCTACAGGTCACCTTCTAATACACCTAAAAATATTTTCCCCCGTGGTATTTAAGAGGAAGTGTTGGAACTTTCTGGCTAACTACCAGTTCAGCAACTAATGGGATGCTTCTGGGATCTCAGACTGATCTTTTGCAATAGTTGAGATATACTCAGCTGCTTGTG